AGCTCTTTGGTTGATAAAGGTAAAAAGATGCTCCATTCCTTACTGGGAGTTCCAGCTCTTTGGTTGATAGAGGTACGAAAGCTCCATTTAAACTTCAACATTCAATTTATGATACCAAAAAATCAGATTTGGATCATTATTTAGAAGATGACTTGGTTCCTTGAGGTGAAGATTGGGCCTTTGACATTGGTAGAAACTTAATGTATCGAAGTATGCTATTTTGTCTAAATTGGCTAGAGATATTTTGGTAATTTTGTTGTCCACTGTCCTTCAAAGTCGTCCTTTAGCACGGGTGGCCGAGTACTCGATCAATATCGTAGTTCCTTGCATCCAGCTTCCGTGGAGCCTTTGATGTGTGCGCAGGACTGTCTCCGGGGTTACTAACCTGAAGGTTAATAAATATTACATGTCTTTAAGTACTAGTTTTATTTATATGTTTATTATGCATTTTAGTTATGGTAATTACCAATTGATATTCGTGCAGTCCCCGAGAGTTCTTCATCTTGTATGGACCAGAAGATAAAGGGATGATTGCTTTTGGTATCACTAGTCTGGTATAATTCTTACTTTTGTTTATATATATGTAAACTATTTAATCTTCTCATTCTTTTGAAACCACTTCAATGACTATTTTTGGTATAATTCTTACTTCTCTTTTATTTGTATAATTGTACAGGTTGGCGCAGACTGCAAGAGAAGGGCGTGTTCAAGTTCACATTTTCTCTTTCTCTATCAATTTGAGTTTCTTTCTCTAGACTGCCGAAATTGTTTGGTTTTCTTGTGATTTTGGAATGAATATGTATATCTAAGAACTGATAATTTCATGCTAGAATGTTTATGGGGCAGTCATCAGGTAGCTCCATCTAGGATGTATATTTTGGAATGATTATGTATGGTCTTTTTTCTTGCCACTTTTACACATAATGGGCACTATTGCACCTCTATGTTGTCCATCAACAATCATAACATTTTCCTTGTAAACTAATTTTACAAGAAAGCATAAACTTAAAGCTGGGTGTTGTCCTTGGATTTCATCAGGTAGAAAAAGCATATTTGAACCCTTCTTCCCTTTTACCCTACTTTATTATGCTCCTGTTAACGAAATAGTAGCTTATAAAATTCTACAAGTGTTTTGTCATGACTGACCAGTAAGAAATCACTCATGAATTTTTTGTTTTGTCATATGTCTTAGAGGATGAAACATGTTACACTCACACAATTAATTAGATTGAAAAACATCTTCTGCAGTGCATAAGGAAACATCAATAGAAGCCTCAAATTGAGAATCCGTAACTAAATTTGTTGGTTTAAATTAGCATTCATTCCACATTCAAGATAGGCATTATCCTGAAGATGGTTAGAACCAGCATTAATAATACTGAGAATTGCTGAGTGAACTGTAAATGGATCTAAAACACCCATTCTTATCTGTTACAGAAACCAGATAACTTATAGACCAATGAGTGAATTGTAAGTGTTAGAGAAAGTTAATGAAGGTTGATGGCTTGACAGATGATGAAGTGAAAAGCCATATGTAGGGTACAAGTATCTACACTATGGTTCTGTTAGCTATATTTGATAGCTATGATGAATAAAGTGCTCCATCTCTTTCTACACTGGAATGGTTCCTTGTTGACCCTTGCAGTAAGAAGAGATTGAGGACCATTTTGATTCAGTATTTGCAGGACCACCATCAAAGGTATTTCCTGCCTCTGCTCTCTTCCACCATCTTCTGTTCTATCAAAACCACTATTTCCTGCCTTGTCCATCTAGGAAATTTGGGTGGGGCTATTGGGTCCACGTTAGAGGCTGAATTGCTGATTGGGTTATCTTTGGTTTCTGCATCTTGGCCTGAAACACCTTGAGATTCCATGGATTAGTTGGGGTTGCCAAGAGCTGGTTTCTTTGATGAAAAGATGATGTTTTTGGGGCACCTCAAGTAGAGATAAGGGGGTGATGGTGTGTAGAGATTGGAGTTTCTGGGGTACCTAAGAAGAGAGAGAGAGAGAGAGATGGTGGTTGTCAAAAGATGGGGTTTTGTGTGATAATTCAAGGTAAAAGTTCATTAATTGTATTTTTTTGAAGATTGCTTCAGTATTTTGTTTGTCGTTTTGCTTTTCTCAAAATGTGGTATTCTCTATGCTTCTCTATTAGTATTTGATGTATATAAACATGTTATTGTTTGATTATTTAATTTTCATCCTACATTAGTTTATGGATTTGCTAAATTTGGGAGTAATAGGTGTGTTGATTTTTCCTGATTAGAGTTATTTTACATACTTGTGCCCTATAGAAAAATTCGGCCTTATTAGCTTCATGAGTGCCTGTTATTGTTCTTGATGAAGGGCTACTTAAATAGAGTTTTTTTTTTTTTTTTACTTTATCTCCAATTGTAGATTTTGTGGTTTTATTTGCAAATCTGTCTTCACAATCTCCTTGTTTTTACTTTTTTAACAAGGAGTAATCTTCCCGTTTTTATGGATTGCAGAAGTATTGAACATCTGTTAGAGCTTGGGCAGAGAGATTGTACCTACTTAGAGTTCTCTCTCTCTCTCTCTCTCTTATTTTGTTGTTTTATTAATCTTTTTGATGTATAAAGAGGTTTTATGTAAACATTTGGGATGCATCTAGCAATCTGATCTACTTTGGTGTGTTAGATGGTGTGGTTTGATCTATGTAGACAATTATTTACGAGCCTCTCTCTCTCTTTGTGGCTGGCTTGAATGTGTAGTTCCAGTCTGTTACTTGATTGCTCATGTATAAGCTTGAATGTAGTTCAAATCTGTTTCTTGGTTGCACATTTAGATCTAGTCTGTTTCAATGGCCTTGGGACATTATTGGGCTGGGCCGGACTTTTAAAAGGTCGGCCTGAAATGCCCGAAAATATTCTTGCTCCTCTCTTAGAAACGGGTTTTAGATAAAGAGATGAACTAGAACATGAATTTATAGAAAAGAGAATGGATTTTTTTAGTGAGAGGGCTGGATGGCATGTTGATGAGAGATAAAATTGAAAACCGAAATGATAAATGCACGAGAGAGAAAACCAAACGCTCATCATTTGACAGTCTAATTTGTGATTGAGAAAATTGAAGTGATGAGAGAGAAACACCAAAAGGCCACACGTCCACATAAAATTTTGGGCCTTGCCGGGTTATTTTCGGGCCGTTCCGGGAGTTCAGGGCCTCGTCAGGACCCGGCCCATTCCGTTGGCAGCCCTATATGTGGCTGGTTGGCCGCACCGTGCCGCCAACACCCGCACTTGTGTGCATGTCCACTCATGTGTGTGTGCATAGAACTTCCACTTTAATAAGTGGAAGAATGAAGTCCATAGTCCAGACTGCGGAGAGCGGAAAGCTCCACATTCAAGAAGCAAATGCTTTGTGGTTTAACAAATTTTGTCTTTAAGACTTTGTTAACTAATGTGCAATTTGCTTTTTACTCTTGCTATCCATCCATGAAAGCTATTAACATTGTAAAATATATTTATATAAATAAAAACTCCAAACCCAGCTCATTCCGGTATCCGGACCTGCACGGTTATATAAATAAAAACTCCAAACCCAGCTCATTCTGGTATCCAGACCTGCACGGTTTTCGTGAGGAATCAGTTTTGATGTCATTTTTTTTGGGTCGGTTCGCGTAAGGACACTTTCGAAAGTTTCGTTTGTAAAACAAAGACCGGAGCACACCATAGTACCCCTTCAGCACCCGGCAACTACCATGGATTCACGTGTATGGCTAAAGCCTCTTGGGTTAACTCTTCTATATGGGACAAATAAATTGTCCATTTCTTCCATAATAAACAATCACTCCCTCTCCTAATCACTCTCTATATAGTTATTTCCGTTGAACCTGTGCTATAATATTTTAATTATGTAAATAGGACACATTAAAACTACATTGTTAAGTGAATATAATTTTGTAAAAATTATTAACTTATTTATTATAATTATTTTAAAATTGATATTGTTATATTGAGATTTTTATTGTTATAAATACATTAAAAATCACATAATTAATATATGAAATTGCTATGTTATTTAATTAATTAATATTATTATATAGATTATGTTATTTTCACATTTAGTTTAGATTGTAATTTTAAATGAATATATTTATAATTCTTACAAATATTAAAAATAACTTATTGTTAATTTTTATTATTACAATAATTTATTTTATACAACAATAAAATTTAATATAATTTTGAATTGTATTAAGTTGTTATATAGAAATTCTTAAATCATATTTATTATAATATTATAATTAATAATTATACAATGATATACCAAATCTTATGTTTTATTTATAAATTTATTTGCATTATAAATTATGTATTATTTTTTCTTACAGTTGAAAATAAGATTTTTAAATTAGATGATATTATAGGATATTTTATATTTATTCTTATTTTCATAGTAAAATAATTATAAAATATAAACCAACAATTTCATTTTAATTTCAATGTATAATATTATAGTTAGTTATGTTATAGTAAATTTGGACGAAGAAAGAAAATTAATAAATGTTTGATGCGATACTAATTTCACATTATATAAGAATTTTTTTATCTTATAATATATAAGTATTTTCTAATATTTTTAAATTATTTTGACGTAATATTATAATCCTCATTATAATTAATAATTATACAAACATCTAAATAAAAAAATATCTCATTATTCACCTATTTTTACAAAGTAATAAATGTACATAATGCACGACTCTTAATTTTTTTTACAAACTAAAAAATACACTACTTTTAGAGATAGGTAATGATTTTATAAAAAAATTATGTGACACATATTACCGATTCGATTGACTTTCAAAACCAATTTACCGATCCGACATGGATGTGTGTCCAACAGGGACATGACTGATGTGTCTTGCTCCAAACCGCAAGGAAGAGAGGGGGATTTTCCTTCCAAGGCCCACGCATTCCACACTCAATTCCACCGCGTCCCGCACCTACTCGTATTAAATAAAGAGATCGAAAAACACGACCCGCCGTTCGTCTCTTCCTTTTCGGTCATTTAAAAATGTAGTCATCCTGCACCTTGCTTCCGCTTTCATTGCGCCTCGACGATCCCAAAAAGTCTCTCTCTCTCTCTCTCTCGCCACATGCTCTGGTCCGTCCCACTCATTCACCTCATGAACTTCCAATAGGAAAGCCTCCCTGAACGTGACCGGTTGGTTTGTTACAACAAATCTTAAAATTCAATTCACCAATCTCCAGTTTTAGAGAGAGAAAACGCTCTCTGGTTTTATCATCCGATTGGAAGGAGGAGGACACGAGAATCCTCTGTTTCAGGAGTGAATTGTGAGGATGATTCAGCTCCTGTTCGCTCTTTTGTTTGGAGAAGGGCTTCTGATCCTTCTTCTGCTGGTGAGAACTCCTCTGAGAAAGCTTGTTCTTCTAGGATTGGATCGGGTGAAGAGAGGGAGGGGCCCTGCTGTTGTCAAGACGCTCGCTACTACCGTTTTTGTTGTGTTGGTTTCCAGTGTTAACAGTGTGATGAAGATCCAGAGAAGGGCATCAGCTGTGGGTTCGATCACTCCTACTGATCAGGTTCTTATGAGCAAGCACATGCTCGAGGCCTCAATGATGGGTATTTCTGGATCTCTCTCTCTGTCTCTCCAGATTTTCTTTTGTGTTTACGAGAACAGAGAATTCATTGAAACTGGAGCGTGAGAAGATCTGTGATCACTATGAGTTTTCATTTTCTTATCATGCTTATTATGTGATGCTTTTGATTTGTTTTCCCCATTTACTTTTGGATTTGTTTGGATTGAGTTATTCGTTGGGATCAAAACTCTTGTTGCAGAATTGAATGTTTTGCTGCTGTGATGTTTTGGGACAATTAGAAGCGTTTGAGTGAATTTCTTCTGCAGATTGGTTTTTATGCAAGTTACCAATGTTTTGGTACTTTTTTTTTATTTCTTGATTTGCAAGTCATTCTTTGTACTCCCTTATTTGGCAATGGATCTTTGGGATGTGGAGACTTCTTTTCCTTCCTTTTAGAAATTTAAGATTGAATCAAGTACTTTATGGCAATATTAAATTCATCAAAATATGTAATTCGTGGAAGACATTGTTACGATTTTGCTATAGATGTTATAGTTGATGATAAGTCTTGCAAGTTAATAAGTCTACCCAAATCCAGTCTAAATTTGGGGCCGTTTCATCTTCCTCCAATATAAAAGGATGAAACCTTTGTACTCCTTTGTTCATTGTGAAATTCGTCAAGGTGGTTGATTGGGTAATGATAAATGTTATTGTTCTAGCATTTATTGGCTCCTCCTGCCTTTTTAAATTGGTAGGATGAGTTCGGCATCATATGACACCTATGTTTGTGATTGATGACGATAATGATTTCGTTTTGTCCAGGTTTTAGAATTGGTATCTTCAATATGATTCTTGAACAAAAGTTGGTTTTTGAGAACTAAGGTACTTGCATATCCTAGACGAAATTTATTGTTGAGAAAAAGTGAACAACTTATGGAATAAAGCAACAATGTCGATCAAATAAACCATAATATCAGTATATAATTCTGGCCAAATTTTGAATGAGTTTGGGATGGTTCAGTTTCCAAATTTGTTTTGTTTTTTAAGATAGTGCTAGTAAAGATTATCTGCTGTTGTTTATGAGATCTTGAATTTATTTACATCAATGGTTTTCCCTTCTTCATGGCATGGGTAACTATTCATTTGAGAATGTCATATTCACTGTTATTAGATTAATACATAATTCATAAGAAATATATTCAGAACATTTAAGCACTGATCATATTTATTTTATACCTTATACCAGTTAATTATGTATATCATCCTTTGTTTGACTCCCAGCATTTTCATTGCAGCATGAGATAGCAGTTGTATGTTTACAAGGTTACTCTGTAGTTTAGATTCTTAAGTAGTTATTAGCTGCCCATAAGAAAGGTCTAAAATAAATTTTAAATGGTTCTTTTGATGAACACTGTTATCTCTTTTCAGATTCCGCATATAAATTATTTCAAAATAATGCAACTGAAATGAATGTGGTAATTGAAGTTTCTTGAAACTTTTGACTTTTGGGTGATTTTGTATTACATGACTACACCCTAGAAGAATATGCATGGTATTTGTACTACTGTTCTAATGCAATGATTCAATGTTGTGACTTGTGAACCAAATATTCTTCAATAGAATGACTCATAACTTAAAGGTTGAATTACTCTTTAGACAATATAGGCCATGATCACAACATCTTTCATGAATAGAATTATCCAAATTCGGTTAATTTTCTCATGGAAATTGTATGTAATTAATTATATAGTGCAGTGACACCTTTGCCTTGATGCAATTTTTTTTGTATGAATAAGGATAGAAGGTAAAGTTTCCTTGGTTACAATTTGTGTGACCTAGGAACCAATAATCTATTGGTAATATGTGATGTCTTTGTGGCGTGTTGATGTTATTAATACCTACTAGAGTATGCAACTAATTTTCTTCTTTGTTTGTTTGTTTTCATGGTAACCATAATATGTATGTGACTGTAACTGGTTGGTTCCAATAATAGATTTCTAGGGTACTTTCAAGCCAAGAAATAAGAACTTTCTTTTAATTGTAAAATACCCTTTCTAAATTGTTGGTGATGAAATGAAGTTTATCTGAGCGTTACTGTTAGATCTCAATATGCTGTCAACATCTCATGCACAAGCCAGGCAATTTGAACTTGAAATTAATTGCGGAGTTGATCATATTAAACTTATATGGATGAATTACTGCTTCAAGTCTATTTACATGTCTCTTCAATTCCTGTTGATTATTGTGCTAAGGCCTTGAAATCGTATATGTGAGAGTTCCTAGCAAGTGATGTGCTTTGATATCCTATTGATGCAGTTGGATCTTGAGAAACACAAAGTTTTCTTTATAGATCTAAGTGCAAATAATTAAGGCACGTAGACCGATAAAATAATTAAGAATAAAATTCAATTTACCTTCAACAATGGTATGGCCACAAATATCTAAGCAAATATGTGCCTAAACATGCATAATCCGTAAGAAGAGAGACTTGAAATACATTGCTGTAAGGTATTTAATAAGAAAAAATCCAAGTGACTTCCTTTACCTGCTTTCCTTGGGCTATGAAATTAGAAGGGGTTATTTGCAATTCCTCTCACAGTATAGCACATGGAACTTGAGGCATCCGATTTTTTTTCTGTCATGTATTTCTATAGCTTTTATTACAATGTGATAAGTCCCAATAACAATGAATAAGTTTGTTTTGTTAATGGCCTAATTAACTTATGTAGCTTACTTGGGCATGGTTTTCCAATTTGCCAATGGTGTTGTGGTTCATGAGTCGGTAGAAGTCCTCCAGTTCATCATTTGCTTTGAGATATTTCTAATAGAATTAGTGAAAATTGTGAAAGAGTTATTGCGCATATCCTGGTGCCAAGAAAATTCTCCCCTCGACATTCTTTCATTCTCTCCCAATACTTTAATCTTCCTCTAGCCAATAAATTCCAGGGGCTGTTGTACTGGCATCATGGCACATTTCCAGCTACTGTGAGATAAGGTGAAAGCATGAATTTGACAATCATAATTCTAAGGAGACTCTGTTCAATCACATTTATCTGGTAGAGGGAAACTTTTTCATTGGAGGAGCTCTTGTCCCTTGGAGGAGCTCTTGTTCCTTGGATTGAAATACCCTCTGCAGAACTGTTGTTTGAAACTTAGTTTCAGGATCTACTAACATCGGTGGCGATCCATTGATGTGTCCCTTTGTTCAGAGTGCGATTGCAGTCCGATTGTGATCCCATGTTGGAGGAGCGTGATCCCTGTCAAGAAAGGGGTGGTCAACACGTCCATATTTTTTATATTTTTTATATTTTTTAAGGAAAAGAAGAATCAAATGCATGTCAATAAAAAATAAGTAATAAAAGCATATCTATAAAAAAAGGAAAGCAATAAATGCATATCAATACAAAAAAGGGAAGCAATAACTATTCAACCATGTTCCCTAAATTGTTCAAAGGAAAGTGATTTTTAAATTTACACCAATAAAAAATAGAAGGTTTTGAATTCAAGGCTTTCAAATTCGTATGTAATGAAGGGAACGCTGGGTTCAGCTTTTGTTACAAATGGTATGGGATTTTAACCCGACATGTTTCTGTATCTCTTGTCTATCTATATTTCTATATTTATGTGCTCTTTCTACTTCATGCTCTTTTTCGTTATTCTTTTCGAAAAGAATGAAATGATGGGGATAGTGAAGAAAAGGGCAGGACTCGTATATCATTTGACTGAAATAATATTCTTTAACCTTAGATATCATTTATGGTCAAATAAATATCTTTAGCAGACTATTATGGAGGACTTGCGCATCAGAAAACTCAGGTTAATAATTCTGAGTATTACTATCATATTTTGTTTGAGTAAATTTATTCAAGTATAACAAAATATATTTGTCATTGATCAATGTCGCATCTAAATATTATGTAAATATTTGTGATTAGTCTTTTAAGTTTTTTTTTTTTTTAATTTCTCTTTTTATATGTCAAAACTTGCGCACTCTTGGCAAGCATTGATCCCCTGCTCTCTCTCCCACCTCCAACAACTATGTTTTGAATCTATGTTCTTTTGGATTGTACATGTTTGTAACTAGTATTGCTCAATTCTTTGTGGATCTATCCTTGGTGAATGTTAAATATAATGTTATTCTTGACTCTTGTTGGTTTTAAGGATTGGATTTGAAAAGGATATTTAAGAAATGTTACGAACTAAGTAAAATATTAGTAAGAAAGTTGGATATGTAGGTGGCAAGGATTCCAACCAAAGGGTCTTATATATTGTATGTCCATCATTTCAGTAGGGATTGAATTTTTATTTATTTCTTTAGAATATTTGAGTTGTTGTGCCTTTTGAGCTACATTAATTGTATTTCTTTTGAGAAACTTTTGGTTTTTTTTTATCTCATTACTTTTACTTGTAAAATGGGGCTCATGTCTAATTTGAGATACATATACTGTGGGATATTGGTAGTTGCTTCAAGTTGTGATGAAAGTTGTGAATGTGATGATAGTGGTGAATATTCTTAGTTGCAATGATCAATGAAGGCATTGAATTACTAGAATTGTTTTTGGAATCATGCTTGGTGAAGTTAAACTGCATGTTATGCGCACCCACTACCCTCCACCTAATGAGTACTTTTTATGAATTTCAAAAGAGAATAAGTATATGGATGTTCTTTTGGATCATGAGTTTGCAGTGCCACTTTGACTCGATGATCATATATATGAGATTCACCCGATGTTGGGAATGTGGTAGTAGGAAGTTGTATATGAGGGGGCTACAAAATACCTGTGCAATTAGAGAGAATGGCCTGGAAGTGTTTTTGTACCAACAACATGAACTTTCTTGCAAATTTTTGAAATTGGGGGATATTAAAATTATTTCCTTACTCGAGTTTGTGGGTGGTAATAAATGGATTGACTTGGAGTTTGATGCTTAAACTAGTACTCGGAGAGTGAATGCTAGTGGTTGGACTATTCTACCTATTAACATGAAAGCCTCTAAGAATGCAACAAATGGAACTTGAGAATGACTTCTCTTCAACTTAGGAGA